TGTTTGTGAAAAACAGATCCCCTAGGATGAAATGCAGCCCCCATTTGGTGATAGTAAAATAACCCCCCCCCCCCCCCCAACCCCATGCTTTTCCTCCAGTAACATACTTCAGGACAGGAAATGAAGAATACTGCATCCTATTGAAATGCCAAGGGAATTTAGGTAGGCTGAACTTAAAATTAGTCCTGGCTGCATTTCAACCTGTCACCAGCACTGGCAATTCTACTCTTTGGAGAAGCGTCTCCTACTCCTCTATATTCTAAACAGTCAGAGCATTAGTTTTGCATCTCATCTGAACAACAGCATTACAAGCAGCCCAACACCTTTTAGTACCATATGGGGGGAAACTGCTTTGGTACCACCTCCATGGAGTAAACATTTTTCCTTAGTTACCATCACCAGTTCTTGCAGTGACAAAGTTACAGTGTGAAACTGGGACACACAGCATGGTGAGGCACATGTAGGGAGAAAGGCAAGAGAGTCTTCTCCTCCTTCCAGCAGGCAGTCCCTTCTCCCTACACAGTACTCTCCACCAAGAGAGCTCAAAGTTGAACTGCATAAGGAGATGATCATTATCACTCCCATTTCAGAGATGTGGAAACGGAGGCATGGAAAAGTGAGGCAATATGGTCAATATTGCCAACCAACCAGTGACCCAACCAGTCAGTGGCAGGGTCATGGCTAGAATCCACTTCTCCAGAATGAAAACCCAGGGGGCTCCAACCAGCAAGTTACAGAAACAGAAATCAGCCAGTTACCCACATAAGCTAAGTAAACGCAGACTCTTGGGAGCTTAACATTTATGTACCTGCACATGATCTAAAACATATACCCCACGTCCAGATCATCACTTTGTATAAGTGACCCATACTATTCCTGATACTGCCTACAGAAATTCTTTTATCTCCTTTCTTCTTATGTTACAAAGAAGAGGAAAACAAAGGTAAGTTGGGGGAAGCAGCTGGGTTCATTTTAGCAGGTTCATTCTATTATTTTAGAGGGAGGAACAGAGACGTTTACAGTTAAGAGCTGTTATCATGATTTCCCAGCCTTCACTTCTTTTCTAGGCCATCTACTTTTTCTGAAATATTCCCCCTTTGGGCTGAAATTTTCCAAGCATGGCCTCTGATCAGATATGACTTTTCCTCCAAATGTTTGAGGAACAGAGTCATGTATGTTAAGCAAAATATTCACAAAGAAACATTTTTGTTTCTTGGAAACAGGGAAAAATAAGTAACCATCACACCCCAAAAGACAAACTTCTGTAGGAAATAGCCAAGAGCTGAAAGCTAAAAAATGGATGGCAGCTATCCTCACTGAATGACAAGACCTTTGCTGGCTGTGGAAGAAACTAGTTTCTATTTGATAAGGTTCTAAGCCTCTGAAAAGCCAACAGTGACAAATAGCAAACACTCCCAATAAACTTAGAAAGCATACATCTAACATACTTCACAGCAGGTATAGCCATGGTTCACCTTGTGCTAGAGTGAAAAGGCCAGTAGTCAGGTCATGATACTGTATGCTGTACATGCAGGCACCTTGGGAGCTCTGCAGATGAGCTTTCCAAGCTATAGGTTAGAAACAGATGCTATCTGATGGCGCATTTGTGCCAGCATAAGATGTTTTATGGATGTTGATACCCTTTGTTGTGCAATGTGAAAGGAAAATCAGTGGTACAACAAAAGGTGGTCACAGATTCTGCCACTTTATTGCAGTGGACATCTGTTACTTCTCTGGTGGAAGAGTACAGGAAGCCCGAGCTGCTTGCCCTTCTCTGAAACACTGAGCAAGTGCTCTGGGGACTTGGGGGCCCTCAAGGCCCCTGAGGACCTGTTCACCTTCCCCACTTAGAGAGAGGCACCCTAGGGAATCTCAGGGTGCCTCTCCATTAGTGGGGAAGTTGGGGTTCCATGTTCAGCCATAACCATCCCCATGATCATGGAGAAGCAAGGGAGGGCTTTTCCCCACTCAGCCACACCCACGGCCCAGGTCTGGCTGGGCAGGAAAAGTGGGGAGATCATATTCCCCCCTTGTCCCGCACTATGAAGAGCAAGACAAGGGGAAATATGTGTTTTGCCCAATGAAGTGGATCAGCTGTGTGCCACAAGACACACTGCAGCACAACTGATCCATTTCATTTGGTGATACCTATTTCTGGTTTGAGTGCCTAAGATTCATATGCAGGTGGCTCTTTTCCAGGGCCCTCAAGTGGGAGGCTGGAATAGGACAGGGAGTTTCACCATTACTTCACCAAACTTTGTAGACGCCACAACAATTTGCAAGTCAGCCAAGACTCAAAAGGCTTTCAAAGTGAAATGCCTATGATTGTTTCTCTTTTTTTTCTTTTGGTAAAAGAAAAAACAAAAAACAAAAAAACAAAAACACATCTAGTCAATTCAGTGGTGAGAAAAAAACCTACTAACATAATATAAAGGTTGTATAGTTAAACACCCAAAAAGTCAGGACAATGCTAAAGTTGAGGTTGTACAAATACTGCCCCCTTGTGATTATATAAGATCTGGAACTACATGATTATACACTGTTTCTCAATTATAACATTTATTATGCCTACATTTATTATGCCTACAACCTTAAAAACACCAGTACCATTTTAGAGTACTGAGCATGGGAAAGCCATTTGTATGAGAGCACACATCATATTTTTAGGGACAAACAGATTGCGGGTTACGTAGTAGCAAAATGTTGATAGATTTAAGTCAACAAAAGCTACAGGTATTAGCTTCATAGTTAACTTCCTCTCTACTGAAAACCACTGAAAGAAGGCTGTACGACTACTTGAGAAGGAAAATACAGGATGCATGGATCCTGCAAAATTAGTCTTACCTTTGAGAAAAGTTATCCTGTCCATTTTTATATAGGACCATTTTGGGAAATAGAAGGAATGAAAAAAAAAATGTAAAAAGCAGGTGCTCTTGGGTTCTGACAAAAATGTGTATTATATCATATTATAAGAAATAGGAGGCAATAGTGTAATTGGTGTCTCTTCTCCATCATCTCAGAGGTAAACTACTCATCTTTGCCACCAACGTCCTTTATGAGCTACCTCCTTCTCACCTGTAATTTCTTACACACTGCTGAGAGGTTAACTCCCCCTCTCCCATCAGCCTGTGATGCCAATCATCATTACCCACTTGTTACGTTTTCAAACAGGCACCTTCATGTTTTCTCTGCTGTTGCTCCTCCTTCTAAGGAGGAATTCCTGTATCTGCAAAGTCATCAAAGTCATCATCCAACTCAGGGGCAGGGAATTACTTTGGGCGGAGGGCTGCTTACTGAGTTTTGGAAAGCCATGGAGGCAGCCCAGGGCAGATTAATATTAATTTTCAAAAATTTTTAGGGGCCCCGCAGGCCAGATAGAATGGCTTGGCAGGCCGCATTTTGCCCACCCCTGATCTAAGTGTTCTCCTCCAAATCCTCTTTCATAGAATCATAGAGAAGCAGGGCTGCAAGGGACCTCCGGAAGTCAGCTAGTCCAACCTTGTGCCCGAGGCATGATCATCCCATCCCATACAAATTATAATCTAAACTTTACATAAGACTACTCTCAGCCCTGACACAACAAAGACCTAATACCCTAACCTGCCACAGGTAAACCAGGGGAAGCACAGCAGCCAATGTCCTGCTTCCTTCTATCATGATGTGAGAGTGGTTGGGTTGCTGGTACACTGAGACCACTGTGTCATCCTGAGCAATAATATCTCCTCATTTCTTCCTTTCCCCCTAACTGTAGTCCCATCTTGCCTGTAAGCTCTTTAAGGCAGGGACCACCCTTTTGTTTGGCGTTTGCACAATGTCTAGCAGAGCAGGGAACTATTCCACTACTATGATGCTGAGACATTAAGGTAATGCAAATAATAATAATTCAAAAACTACAATGAAATATAATGGCATCTTATGGAATGACTCCCTGAGCCTGCTAGCTTATTCTGCTCTTCCACTCTTGTCTTCCCTTTTCCACCCATCTCTCCAACTACACCGCTTTGGAATCAGACACAGGGGTGAGGAAGGGCAAAGGTGATCCTGTCTCACCTTTCTGGAATTCTTTCCTAATTTTTTTCCTCTTCAGTATTTCTACTCCTGAAATTTCCCTTTAAAATTCTTCCTTGACCTCAATACATAACTACAGTCCCATGAAAGAGGGGGAGGAGAAAAATGCATGGCTCTGGACAAGGCGAAATCCCATTTCTTTAGCTGAAATTCATCTGGGCAGGTAGACCAGATTGGGCACACAAACAAGTGCACTCACAGATAAATACATTCTTACCAGATCCCAGGCTGGGATTATCAAAAGCAAAATAAGAATAAAATAAAATAAGGACTGGGGGGGGGAGGGGGCAGGTTGGAGGTTAGTGTTTCTTTCTGAATACAATTGCAAGTGCTGTTTACTACAGGTCAGGAATCACTTTACTTCCATGGCATAGGTTTAAATGCAAATCAAGTTTGTTGAGGCTTGAAATTATCCTGCAACAGATCTGTGGGAAATCACTATGGGAGGTTATCAGGCTATGCCATCTGCAAAAAACAAGGTGGTGCTATTTACGCCGAGACATCTGTCTTTATGTAAAATCATGAAAGAGACCAGGCGCTGTAGTTTTTACCCCGGTCACACCTAGTTAAGTGCAACCCTCACTGGGGGAGTAGTGTTGAACCCCTCTAGCTAAAGATAGACAAAAAATAACAATGCCCTTCGTCCATTAC